CAGCCCCATAGGTGCCCCATTCAGCCCCATAACTGCACCTCCTGACCCGTAACTGCACAGACCCATAAGTGCCTCCCCACACCCACTACCACACACCCAGACCCATAACTGCTCCCCAAAGGGCCTCTTTCAGCCCCATAGCTACCCCATTCAGCCCCATAACTGCACCCCCCTGACCCATAACTGCCCATTCAGACCCGTAACCACCCCGCTCTGCCCGATTAGTGCCCCCAAAGCGGGGCTTTCAGCCCCATAGCTGCCCCATTCAACCCCGTAACTGCCCCCCTCAGCCCCATAACTGCCCCGTTCAGCCCCATGCCCCACAGCCGCCCCATAGGCGCCCGTGCCGCTCACGCCGGTGCTGACGGGCTCCTCGGCCCAGTCTCGGGGCAGCCCCGGCTCGACCCACGGCTGCACCACGGCCGCCATCTCCCGCCGCGCTTTACGACACCGCGCTTTGCGACACTCGTGTGACTCGGGCGATTTACCGCAATGACGCGAAGATCCCGCCTCGCTTTGCGTCAGCGTGCCTCAGAGCGCGGCACGCGAAGGGGATGCCGCGCTTTATGGCAGCGTGGCAGGCGCCGCGCAGGTCCTGACAGGACGATAGTGATCACTCCTCCCGCAATCCTCCAGCGCCGGTTTACTCCCATATCGCGACTGTGCCTTGCGATATTCCATTTTCAAGGCATAGGAGAGGTGTCGATGTGGATGAGAGAAGGGCAAACGATCTCCGGGGGAGAGAGAACTTTACCCGGGCAGGACCTGTCGCTGAGGTGATGGAGAAGCCAAGATGGCGGCGGCGCTGAGGGGTCTGGCTGCGATGGCGGCGCCGTGAGGGGAAGGAGGAGGAGGAGGAAAGATGGCGGAGGAGAAGAAGCTGAAGCTGAGCCACACGCTGCTGCCCGCCGAGTCCATGAAGGTGATGGCGGAGGCCATGGGCATTGGGCAGGTCCCCGAGGAGAGCTGCCAGCTGCTGGCCGAGGAGGCGAGCTACCGCCTCAAGGAGATCGCGCAGGTACGGGGAGGATCCATTGGGGTTGTTGGGGGGGGGAAATGAGGGACCCCCCTTTGGATCACATGGATTTGGGGAGGGAAGTGAGATATGGGGGATCCCCCCTTATGGGGCACAAGCCCCCTTTAGATCCGCTATGCGTGGGGCTGCGCTGGCAATGGGGGGATCCCCTCTTTGCTGCCGCCCCCCCCCGTGCCCCCATAGGACGCGCTCAAGTTTATGCACATGGGCAAGCGCCGCCGCCTGACGCCGGGAGACGTGGACTTGGCGCTGAAGCTGAAGAACGTGGAGGTGGCTCCCGGACTCCCCCCCTTGCCCCCCCCCTTCATGGCCGGGGACGTTCTGGGGTGCCCCTGACCCCGGTCGTTCCCGTCCCCCCGCAGCCCCTGTACGGGTTCCAGGCCCAGGAGTTCCTCCCGTTCCGCTTCGCCAGCGGCGGTGGCCGTGAGCTCTACTTCTATGAGGAGAAGGAAGTGGAGCTGAGCGATATCATCAACACCCCGCTTCCGCGCGTGCCGCTCGACGTCTGCGTCAAGGGTGATTTGGGGGGGGGGGTGGGCTGGTTTTTGGGTGATTTGGGGGTAATTTGGGCTGAGTTTGGGATAGTTTGGGCTGATCATGGGGTGAATTGGGCTGATTTTGGGGTAGTTTGGGGTGCTTTGGGCTGATTTTGGGGTAGTTCTGGGTGGCCTCACTTCTCCTTCTCTCTCCCCAGCTCACTGGCTCAGCATTGAGGGGGTGCAACCAGCCATCCCTGAGAACCCCCCTCCTGGTGCGTGATCCCCCCGATCCTCCTCCTCCTCCTTTGGGGGCCCCCCAAAGCCCCTTTGTGGCCCATAAACCCCTTTGTCCCCCCATAGCCCCCAAGGAGCAGCAGAAGGCGGAGGCCACAGAGCCCCTCAAGTCCACCAAGCCAGGGCAGGAGGAGGACGGGGCCCTGAAGGGCAAAGGCCAGAGCGTGGCCACCGTGGATGGCAAAGGTGGGTGCCCAGGGGTGTCTGTGGGGTGCCCATGGGGTGTCTATGGGGTGCCTGCAGGGTTCTGACCCCCCCCTCCCCAGGGAAAGAGAAGAAGGGCCCATTGCTGGAGGGGGCCCCCCTGCGCCTCAAGCCCCGCAGCGTGCACGAGCTCTCGGTGGAGCAGCAGCTTTACTACAAGGAGATCACCGAGGCCTGCGTGGGCTCCTGCGAGGCCAAGCGAGCCGTGAGTGGCCCCAAAGACCCCCCTCTGGGGTCCCCAGCACCCCATTGAGACCCCATTGAGGTGCCCTCAGCCATACGCTGAGCCCTGGGGTCGGTGTCTCTGTGCTTCCCTGTCCCCTGTCTCCTCCCCCGCCCCATTGCCCCAGCGCTCTACTTATGGCTTCTGTCCCCCCCTCCCCTGTCCCCCCCTGCCCCTCGGGGTGTCCCCGTGCTCACAGGAGGCCCTGCAGAGCATCGCCACTGACCCAGGGCTCTACCAGATGCTGCCGCGCTTCAGCACCTTCATCTCCGAGGGGGTGAGCTCCACACTGGGGGGTGCCCCACTGCAATGTGACCCCTGGGCACGGCCCCAGCGGGGTGACACCGGTGCCACCCCCCTCCCCCCCCCCAGGTGCGTGTCAACGTGGTGCAGAACAACCTGGCCCTGCTCATCTACCTCATGCGCATGGTGAAGGCGCTGATGGACAACCCCACCTTGTACCTGGAGAAATACGTGAGGCCCCCGCGCCCCATCCCCCGCATCCGTGTCCCCCATGGGTTCCCTATGGATTCCCCCCCCACGGTGTCCGGTGGTGCCTGCAGCTGCACGAGCTCATCCCTGCGGTGATGACGTGCATCGTGAGCCGCCAGCTCTGCCTGCGCCCGGACGTGGACAACCACTGGGCGCTGCGGGACTTCGCCGCCCGCCTCGTGGCCCAGGTCTGCAAGAACTTCAGCACCACCACCAACAATGTCCAGAGCCGCATCACCAAGACCTTCACCAAGGTGGGGCAGGCACAGGGCGTGGGGCATGGGGTTGACGGTGGGGCGGGCGGTGGGTCCCGAGCCTCCTCTCTCTGTCCTAGAGCTGGGTGGATGAGAAGACCCCGTGGACTACGCGCTACGGCTCTATCGCAGGCCTGGCTGAGCTGGGACACGACGTGAGTGAGGCCCCGTGTGCCCCCATTGACCCCCAGTGCCCCCCGTGTCCCCATTGCCCCCCATGTCACATTGCCCCTCATGTCCCCATTGCCCCCCATTTCCCCACTGCTCCCTGTGTCCCATTGCCCCCCATCCCCATTGCCCCCCATGTGCCATTTCACTTATGTCCCCATTGTCCCAGTGTCCCCGTTGCCCCCCATTTCCCCACTGCTCCCCGTGTCCCATTGCCCCCCCATGTCCAATTTCTCCCATGTCCCCATTGCCCCCCTATCCCCATTGCCCCCCATGTCCCATTTCCCTCATGTCCCCGTGTCCCCATTGCCCTCCATGTCCCATTTCCCCCATGTCCCCATTGCCCCCAGTGTCCCCATTGCCCCCCATGTCCCACCGTGTCCACCTCTATCCCCAGGTCATCAAGACACTGATCCTGCCGCGGCTGCAGGTGGAGGGCGAGCGGCTCCGGAGCATCCTGGAGGGCCCCGTCGTCAGCAACATCGACAAGATTGGGGCTGACCACGTCCAGACCCTGCTGCTGGTGAGATACGGGGGCACCGTGGGGCTGGGGGGGACGACATTGCATCCCTGTGGGGCTGGGTCGATGCTGGCCCTGGTGGGGTGTCAAGGGGTGCCAGTGCCCCCATGGTGCCCTCTCCCCACAGAAGCACTGCGCCCCGGTGCTGGCCAAGCTGCGCCCCCCACCGGACCAGCCTGAGGCCTATCGGGGGGACTTTGGGTACCTGGGGGCCCTGCTCTGCTCCCACGTGGGCAAAGCACGGGCGCAGGCGGCACTGGCGGCACAGCAGGTGAACAGGACCACGCTGACCATCACCCAGGTGGGGGCCGTGGGGGGCTATGGGGTCATGGGCGGCTATGGAGTGCTCTAGGGGGCTATGGGGTCATGGCGGGCTATGGGGCCATCAAGGGCTATGGAGGACCTTGGGGGGCTATGGGTCCCCCCGTCACTGGTGTTGTCCCTGTCCTCAGCCCCGGCCCACACTGACGCTGTCTCAGCCTCCCCCAGCCGTGCCAGGGGCACCCCCCCCACGCCCCCCCGGGCTGCTGAAGGTGCCGGGGGCCATCGCTGTGCCCGTGGGGGGGGCACGGGGGGGCCCCCCCCAGCCCTCGCCCCCCCCCAAGTTCATCGTCATGGGAGCAGGAGCCGGCCAACAGGTACGGACATTGGGGGGTATTATGGGATGTGTGGGGTATTATGTGATGTGTGGGTATTATGGGAGCTGTAGGTATTACAAGATGTCTGGCATTTTATGGGATGTGTGGGGTATTATGGGATGTGTGGGTATTATGGGATATATGGGTATTACGGGATGTGGGTCCCATTGCGCCCTGTGCCCCCCCCCCCCCCCAGGTTCTCACGTTTAGCACAAGCCCCGCGCCCACGGCCACGTCGCCGGTGAGCACGAGCGCCCCCAGCGTGCAGCCGGTGGTGAAGCTCGTCTCGGCCGCCCCCACGGTGCCCAGCGCCACGGTGAGCGCCGTGGCCGGCAGCGTGCAGAAATACATCGTGGTGTCCCTGCCTCCCCCCGGCGACGCCAAACCCCCCCCGACCCCCACCGCGCCCCCCGGGCCGCAGCCCTCCCCCCCCGCTGCCGTCACCCCCAAGGCAGAGCCTGGGGACAGCCCCCAGGGGCACCCGGGGACACCCGGCGACACACAGTGACCCCCCCATGGTCCTCTATGGGGACACCCAATGACACCCTCTGCAATGGCCCTCTGTGGGGACACTGGGGTGGTCCCCCAATATACCCCCATGTTGTAAATAGTCCAATAAACTCCCAGTGCCTCCCAGTTCATCCCAGTGCCCCCCTAGTACCGCTTGCTCCATCCCAGTGCCCCCCCACCCCCTTGCACAAGCGCTCCCCTTTGCACACCCATTTGCACAAGACCCCCCCCGGGGGAGCCCAGAGGGGGCGGAACCAACCCCTTTATAACCATCGGGTCCTAGCGCCCACCCCCTGTGCTCCCATTGCCTCCCATTGCCCCCCGAGTGTCCCCCACTGCCCCCAATGCCGCTGCACTTCGCCCCGCTCCGGATCCCGCTCCAGCGCCGGCTCCAAACGGCGGCCGTTCTGCAGTGGGTCTTCTCCTTCCTCGCCCTGGGTGAGCCCCCAACCCCCCCCCAGACCCTCTTTAACACCCCTTGACCCCCCCCCCCAAACCCCCCTGACTCGTTGGGTGCGCATAGGGAATGGTGCACCCAGGAGGGGCTTGGGGTGCTGGGGGGGTAATGGGGACTGCTCGAAATGGGGTTACTCGGGTGGGGGGGGAGGGTGTCCTCCAGTCCCTCCACTCCCCCTTTTTCTCCCTTCCCTGTGCCTCCTATAGGGAATAGTGGACATGGGGGGATTTGGGAATGTGTCCCCCATAGGGATCACAGCACACACACAGAGGGGGTGTTTGGGGGTACCGGGACGCCCCATCCTGCTGTGCAGCCCAGCTCTGTGTCCCCCATAGGGATCACTGCACACACACACATACAGGGGGGTGTCTGAGGGTACCGGGACGCCCCATCCTGCTGTGGCCCAGCTCAGCGGGGTGCCGCGCTGTCCCCCCCCCTCAATGCAATGGTGCAGCCCAGCTCTGCGTCCCCCATAGGGATCACTGCACACACACACACACACAGGGGGGTGTTTGGGGGTACCGGGACGCCCCATCCCGCTGTGGCCCAGCTCAGCGGGGTGCCGCGCTGCCCCCCCCAATGCAATGGTGCAGCCCAGCTCTGTGTCCCCCATAGGGATCACTGCACACACACACACACACAGGGGGGCGTTGGGGGTACCGGGACGCCCCATCCCGCTGTGGCCCAGCTCAGCGGGGTGCCGCGCTGTCCCCCCCCACCAATGCAATGGTGCAGCCCAGCTGTGCACGCTGCTGTTCGCGCTGGCGCTGCGCGGGCCCCTCTGCCTGCCCGCGCTGCTCTACGGGCTCTGGCTGTGGGCGGACCGCGACACCCCCTGCCGCGGGGGGCGCCCTTCCCGCTGGGTCCGCTCCTGGACGCTCTGGGAGTACTTCCGGGACTACTTCCCCATCTCGGTGAGCCTGGGCCGGAGGGGTCCTTTGAGAGGGCTCTGGGGTCCTCGGGCGGCATTAGCTGCCCGCCGCATTGCCCGCCCGCTGAGTGCCCTCTCCCGGCCCTGCTCCCGCAGCTCCGGCGCACGGCGCCGCTGGAGCCGAACGGGAGCTACCTCCTGGGGCTGCACCCCCACGGCGTCCTGGCCGCCGGCGCCTTCGGCAACTTCTGCACCGAAGCCACGGGGTTCGGGCGCCTCTTCCCGGGGCTGCGCCCGCAGCTCCTGACCCTGCCCGCCTGGTTCCGGGTGCCCCTGCTCCGGGAATACCTCATGGCCGGAGGTGGGGGGGGGCCCAAAGCTGGGGTCGGAGGGTGGGGGGGCTCTAAAAGGGGTTTTGGGGGTCCCATTGTGTCCGTGTCCCCCCGCCCCCCCCAGGGTTGGTGTCCTCGGAGCGCCGCAGCCTCGAGTTCCTGCTGAGCCGCACCGGGGGGGGCCACGTGGCCGCGATCGTGCTCGGGGGGGCCCCCGAGGCTTTGGACGCGCACCCGGGGGCGCTGCGCCTGCGCCTGCGGCACCGGACGGGCTTCGTGCGCTGCGCGCTGCG